AAACATTTTGTCAGATTATAGATTTTTACTAAACATTTTGTCCCTGGGATATCTTAATATGAGATTAAGACGTCACATCTCAGTTTTTCTACATGATGAATTTGTACAATTACAAAACGTTCTGGTAGCTCACTGTCCAGACTGTCCTGTATTCAGTTTTTTTTAATCACAGAAAACTTTTTAAACTGACATTTCTATAGTAGAGAGTGAAAAACAAGAACTTTTGTGTTATCTAGTAACTATTTTCGTATAATACAAATGGCTGTGAGGGACGTCTTGATCAGCAGGAAAAGCTGTAAAACATGAAAATACAGCTGAAGGTCACAAAATGCATTCCTTTATATTTTATTATTTTTATTTTATAGTCTTTTAGTGGGCCGGATTCGATTCTTTGCAGGCCACCTTTGGCTCCCAGGCCTTCTATTTGACACCCCTGTGTTACTAGATTGTCTCATTGTACTTTATGAGGCTGCAAAACACAAAGTTATGGGCTTTCCTTTACATGAACTTAATCAAAATAGTTTCAGGCGATCAAACCCAAATATCAGTGCAGTAAAACAAAATATTCAGAAATGTGTATATCAATAAAAAACTTCTAAATCCTTATAATTCTATTTATGAAATGAAAGGGGAAAACAACAGCGTTTGTGGGCATAAACCAGTCCATGGGGCAGTATCGAGCGCCGCCTGCTGGAGCGGACATGTATGGCGTGTTAGCGATATTACCGCAACGATGCGAACTTTTATTTTGAAATAACGTTTGCCCTTACGCCGGAAGAGAAAAGTGCCATTCGAAAAGAAGCTGCAGGATGAGGATATGAGGACAAAGAGTTCAGCCGAGCGACAAACAAACGCCGCTCGAAGACCATAAAATATCATTTGTGTTTACTCTTTTCGTTTCGTTTCCTAACGTCAACGCCAAACTTCTAAAAACTAATTCACCGACTACTTATTTTCCCGTTGTAGCTATGTTTTATAGAAAATATGCCGACTCCAGCAGTGAGAGTGTCGTATTGGCGGCAGAGCTGATGCCTGTCGTAACCGGCTTTCTCAGCTTTTCTGTGTCGCATCAGTGACTATGGATGTGAGAGCAGTTTTGGAGTTTGCCACAGTAACCAGGGGCCTCTCTCTGGTTCTGCAGGTAAGTTTGGCATCCTTAAAAGTCTCGAAAGAACGAGTCATATTTGACAACAGGACGTTTCTACCTACAGGCTGTAGTGAAAGTCACTGTATACTTTAAAAGCATACAGCTGACATGTGTATTTATGACGAATGTGTATTTTAATAATGATAAATGTTTCTTTTCAGGCTGTCTTGAACGCTGCTATCCCTGACCATGACGCCGAGGCGTTCAGGCCCCCTCGGACAGAGGACTCCCTGTACTTGGACTGGATGGTGGAGTGGTTGTTTGGCGGCCTCTCTCACTGGGATGCTGAGCACTTCCTCTTCATTGCCGAGAGAGGATATCTTTACGAGCACAACTTTGCGTTTTTCCCCCTCTTCCCCGTCATCCTCCGGGGCTTGGCAGAGACGCTGCTGTGGCCCCTGAGCAGCTGGCTGAGTGTGCGGGGGCGGCTGCTGGTTGCTGTGGCCCTGGGAAACAGCGCCCTCTTCCTGTTGAGCGCCGTCGCCTTGCATGCCCTCAGTAGAATAGTTCTCCAGGACAGGCGTCTTGCTCTGCTCTCCAGCCTGCTCTACTGCATCACACCCGCCAATGTTTTCATGACTGCTGGGTACTCGGAGAGCCTGTTTGCTGCTCTCACTTTCGGTGGTCTTTATCTCTTGGAGAAAGGATTCATCTTCCGAGCCTGCCTTGCCCTCAGCATAGCTACCGCAGCACGATCGAATGGCCTTGTCAACATAGGGTTTCTGCTGTATCTTCCATCACTGCATGCCATCTCCCAGATTCGTTTGTATCGCGCCACAACAAAAGGCCACAGTAAAGTCTTCCACTACATCTGGGTCATCATCTGTCTGCTGCTGACCTCCGTCTTGGGAACTGCAATTATTGCCCTACCCTTCTGTGCTTTCCAATACTATGGTTATAGGACGTTTTGCACACCATCCACCTCCTTGGAGAGCATTCCTCCTGCTCTCCTGTCAATAGCTGAACGGAAGGGCTACCGGGTTCCGGATGAAAACGGTCCACCACCCCTCTGGTGTATGAGACCCCTGCCCCTGCTTTATTCTCACATCCAGGATGTATATTGGGATGTGGGCTTCCTCCGTTATTTTGAACTGAAGCAGATACCCAACTTTCTTCTGGCTCTTCCTATGGCCACCCTTGGAATAATTGCCTGTTATGCATACTTTCAAGCTAATCCAGAGCTGTGTGTGAGACTCGGCCTTTGGGACACAAGTGCAAACAAAGGGCTTGACAAACCCACGCCTGGATTCTTCAACCCTCGAGTGTTCGTGTATGTGGTGCATTCAGCAGTGCTGCTGGTTTTCGGGACATTGTGCATGCATGTGCAGGTAAGGAAGTTGTATAATGAGTGTCTTGCAAAATGTCTTGTTTGAAGCGATTCAAAGCTTCACCCCTCCTCTCTTAATCTGCCTTTGTAGGTACTAACCCGATTCATGGCCTCCTCGTCTCCCGTACCATTCTGGATAAGTGCTCACCTGCTCCTCCTCAATGAGCCACTCCTTCATCGAAGGAAAACATCAAACCCCAACGTGCAGCTGCATTCTAGAAATAGCTGCAAGCACACACCTCAGAATCCTATTGTTGCGCTCCTGCCACACTTAAAAGCCTGTTCTTCTACCACACAGGGCATCCTGGGATACTTCCTCTCTTACTGGCTACTGGGCCTTGCACTGCATTGCAATTTCTTGCCATGGACTTGACTTAAGACGTTGTTTCAAGCTCTTAATGCTAAAGTTCTGTGCAGGACTAGGTTGTAAAGTCAGTGTTTCAGCAGGGATCCTTTGGTATTTCAATAATAACCATTAATTGCAATAAAAGGACAGTGATTTTTGTCAAAGAGATAATTGTACATATAATACTACATTTTACATAATTAAAATCACACTTCACAAAAAACACAAAGCCAGCACAAAGTCCAAAAAGTTGTGTCTTACTGGAGTGACTTTGCCTAGTCCTGCACAGAGCTTTCTGTGACAAGATTACATTTTTAATGCCAGTTCTTGATCATGATACAGTTGCCAGGTTTCATTTGCACATTTTAGTCAAATGTGTTTTTGTGTTCTTTGAGAACAAATGTAGAAAATAACTGAAATCTTAATGGACTCTGGTTGGGTGTAAATATTGGGAGACTACGGTTGTACGTGGGAGGGGAACACTTTTTATTTCATGTCCAGTTCTTCCTGAAGCCACTGCTCTTTGAAACCTCCAGCTTGTGTCTCGGGACTTGAGTGAGAATTAAAAAAAACAAAACGGGAACCTTAATTTTTTTTCTTCATCTTTTATGTATTTATTTATTGTGTTAATGGTTCTTTCACGAGGCATTGATGTAAAATGTCCACAATGTGCAATTTTATTTTAAAGAACATTGTTGCCAAAGTTGTGTTAACATGTCAGATAACACGCGATAAATCTAAACAAGGATGACATTTGTGCTGAAGACCTTTTCTTTCATGTAAAAGTTTTAAATTCTTTACTGTCGTGCAAAGTAAACTCATGAAACAACTTGGTGCAGAACTGCTACACTTATTTTTATGGAAAAATCTTTACTAACACCACCAACTCAACTGAACCCTGACAGTTATCTTCATATAGTTTCCAAACAAGTGTCCATTCAGTGCAGCCTGACAGCTATTATTCAGCATATGCCACAAGTGAACAATGGATTTCTGTTATTTTAGGCCACTGACACTGTGATACACCTAGAATCACTGTCTAGCTGTGGTGTAAAAAGACTAATTCAAAAGGAAAGGAAATATAAGTGCACAGGTGAGAGTCTTGCCAGATTACATTACCCCACTACTGTAGTAAAGCTAAAGGACGTGGATGAGGAACATCAGTTTTCATGTAATGCTGTAGAGCTGTAGCAAGTGGAGCTACGATTTCTTGTTCTTTAAACAGAATTGAATACGAGCTATAAATGTGACTGATCATGCTGACCTCTTTCTGAATATGACATGAGAGCTAAAAGATGAAAAAAATGGAAACACTCTGAATGACATCACAGCTGAAATGACAGAGCAGGTGTACAACTATTTGAAGCAATGTGTTTTTTAATCTGTCAACTATCACAACATCCTGTTGACAACTGCAATCAGGTGAGATACTAAAATAGACTATAACCTATTTTCTCCAGAAAATATGAGGTCAGGCAGAAGTGTTCATGGACTATGATGTTCACAGATCACATTGTGACCTGTAGTGAGAATAGGGAGCAAGTGGAGGAGAGCCTGGAGAGGTGGAGGTATGCTCTGGAGAGGGGAGAAATTAAAGTCAGTAGAAGCAAGACTGAATATGTGTGTGTGAATGAGAGGGAGACAGGTAGGAAGGAAAACATATGAAGAGTAGAGATAACGAAAGTAGTTAGACAAAGTTAGAGAGGCAGGGCAGAGAAAGGATAGTAGGGGTGGTGGATATACTGGACAAAGGATGTTGAAGATGGAGCTGCTAGGCAGAAGGGCATGAGGAAGATCACAGAGAAGATTTGTGGATGTAGAAGGGCATAATGAGGTGATTAGAGGGTGTTAAGGATAAGACAGGTTGAAATGGAGGCACTAAAGGAAGATGATTTGCTTTTTTTTGTTAAATACAATTTTTCTTTCATTCACCCAATCACAAACATACTGAAACAAAAATGTCATATTTTAAACTATTTTTATTTACTTTTTTTTTTTTTAATGATATTTTCGGCACGGGTATAAATCAGTATAGAGAAAACACAGCCTGTGTCAATAAAAACAGATTATCATCGCGCCTGCCACTGATCTTCCTGTCATCCCCGTGCAGACGCATTTTCCCCATCATCAGGACGTACGTGATGACGTTACGATGACGCCATGACGTACGGTAGCTGACTGTGAAAGAAAAAGGAACTCCTGTGAAGACGTTGGAGTGGAAGCTCCTCTGTGAGGGTTGAATTTTTAATAAAGGCTAGTTAATTTGACAGCATGAGCAGTCATATTTCTGTTTGGCTTTAATTTAACTACCAAACATGGTAGTTAACCCTGCGCCAACCTGGCGGTTGATTCAGACTGTGAACTACGGAGAAGAATGCCTTTGTTGGTACGCTAGCTAGTGTTAGCTTTCATGATGGGAAAGTAAGAAGCAAAATATAAAGTTACACTGACTGACCCTTGAGAGGACTGTCATTTTTTAAAAGAAGAAACACGACGAGGAAAGAGAGGTCTGTCTGTGTGTGCCTTTAGCTACCTCCGAACCGCTTACACGATGAAGAACTGCGAGTACCAGCAGATAGATCCACGGGCACTGTCGGTGACCCCGCTGTCGGCGCAGAATCTCGGGGAGAAGAAGGCGCAGTCGCCCCGGAGGAAATGGGAAGTGTTCCCCGGGAAGAACAGGTTTTTCTGCGACGGGCGACTCATTCTTTCCCGACAGAGCGGTGTCCTTCCTCTGACAATGGGCCTTATTGTTGTCACCTGTGGCCTTTTCTTTGCATTTGAGTGAGTCAAAATGTACGTGTTTATTTTCGAGGGTGTCTTGTGACGTCTGAGTTTATACCCCCCTTTTTTATGTGAATATACATTTATAGTTGCCCGTTCCTGGTGAAGCACCTGACCATCTTCATACCTGTGATCGGCGGGGTGCTTTTTGTGTTTGTGGTCATCTCCCTGCTGAGAACCAGCTTTACCGATCCAGGCATTTTACCCAGAGCCACTCCAGATGAAGCTGCAGACATAGAGCGGCAGATAGGTGAGGCATATGTAGTTCCAGCTTACTCACTGTGGGACAGATGGAATGAAAGAGCTTTCCCATCTGTGTGTGGGGTGTGTGTGTGGGGTGGGGTGTCTGAGGGACATGTTTGTTGCTTGAGCTGCAGACCTAAGCTGATTACTCTGGGTCATGGTTGAAGAGCACAAAGGCCTGGTATAGTTTGATTTCTACTTACTTCCTCATTTTTATGAAGTTATTTGGTTGAGCTGTTTTGCTGAATTGCAAGCACCTTAAAGAAGCATCTCCCCCTTGTACATGTCTATTTTAAGATACCTCAGGATCCTCTACATACCGCCCTCCTCCGCGGACCAAGGAGATCCTCATCAACCAGCAGGTGGTAAAGCTCAAATACTGCTTCACCTGTAAGATGTTCCGCCCTCCTCGCACCTCCCACTGCAGCCTGTGCGACAACTGTGTAGGTGAGAATTAAACTACACATGGAATCCCAAATCTGTCTATCTTAAGTGCAAAGTGCAATATTGCTATTATATCCAGTGCCTACCTATGCCATTCTTAAAGCTGCTTTAATTAGGATTATTACTAATTTATTTATGATTGAATAGAACATATTATTTTTTTATGACTGTTTCATTCTAATAGTATGATTGTTTATGTTTGCCTCTATGCTTGTGCTTACAATGATAATGAAGCTTATCTTAGTGGGGAACACTAATGTTAAATATCAGAATGATAATATATTTCCTTGAGCGTGTTCCAACATTATACTTACAATAGCCTGAAACCTCAAAGTTACCAAGAGCCTACAAAAAAAAAGAAGTGAAACCCATAAACACATGACCTGACATTTGTTTTTTAAAGTAACCAAATCAGTTTAGCCATATATGCAGGATCTATGTAGTTAGTTGAAAGTGGGTGGTTAGAATTTGGTCATTATTTTAGTAAAATAAACAGTTTCATAGTAATAACTGTTACTTCTCCATGTATGCCATAAAGAAAAGCTCACAAATCTGCCTCACGAGCTGTAGGTTTTTGCCAGGCAGTGGTTTTAAATCAGAATTTATTCCTAACAAACTCTCAGGGAGTACATAATTAAATAATAATTTTTGTTTCTTCAAAGGTTACTGTATTTTCAGTCCTAAATTTCACTACGCTTCCCCTGACATTGTTTACTTTGCTCCCTGTGAAGGGATTGTACCACTACGATGGCGCTTTATTGTGAAAGGTTGGAAAGATTATTAGTTTGATTGGGTGTTCTACAATTTTACTTAAACTTTTGAAATCACTTATACACACATTGAGGAAGTTGGGAGTTTTGTTCCTCATTTCTTAGGATACAACCTTAATGCCTGACTTTTTCTGTGTCTTATGCCTTCTATGTTTCCGTACAGACCTGCTGGGAAATACTGCTGACACCACTTTTCTTGGAAAACCCTTTTTTTTTTCTTTTTTTTAAAAAATTTTAGTTTGAAAATGATATAGCTCAGACAGCCAAGATTGCTGCCTGATTAAGTTTTATCAGTCATTAAATTAGGGTAAATGTAACACTTAGGCTCATACAGCTTTTATCACTTTACTGTTCTTTTCCATAATGCTCCTGGTTTGCTCTTATATGTTGCTGTATTTGCTCTGAGATGAGTCCAGGTTTGTGTTTTCTGCTGCTGTGAATGCTTCGTGGTGACGTTTTACCTTGAGTAACAAGTCCACCTTTTTGTCTGTCCCAGCTAAGAAACCTCTGGTGTTACTTTTTGCCACTGTGTTGATCATTTTGTAGTTTTTTCTTTTTTGTTTTTTTTAACCAGCCCTCTCGCTCTCTGCTTCCACTTTACATGAATGGGCGTGTGATGTGTGAATACAGATAGAAATCCTGTAAAAGATCCACTAGATTGATCCACAGAGATTTGTAGCGTGTCACTGAAATTAATGACTGTAACTTTATGCCTTCTTTGCTTTCTTTTCCCCTCCAGAACGATTTGATCACCACTGTCCATGGGTGGGAAACTGTGTGGGAAAACGCAATTACCGCTTTTTCTACAGCTTCATCATCTCCCTGTCTTTTCTCACGTCTTTTATATTTGGCTGTGTCATCACACACATCACCCTGCGTAAGTACTTAAACACATTTAGTATCTGTCACATTACCAGCAAAGACTTTAACATGCCTCTGTCTCTGATGTTGATGTTTCTCTCCAGGTTCTCAAGAAGGTAAAAGCCTCGTTCAAGCCATTGAAGAGAGCCCTGCAAGATATCCTTTGTGTGTCACTCTGCTGTGTTAGACAGTCGAGGCACTTCCCGCTGCTCCTCAGCTTATTCCCACCCTTAATAGGATAAGAGTATTAGAGGTGCTTTTAGTGTGATTGCTGTCTATTAGTAAGTTTGCTGCCTCATGTCTCGTGAGACAATTATAGACGTAACCATTAGTCACAGTCACAGATGACTGTGGATTGATTTCCACATGCTGTGTATTACATATAAGACATTATGTTATTGCCCGAAACATTTCTGTGTCTAAATAAGAGACATACCTAGTATGTTTTTTTTTCTGTAAAGACTGACTTATATACTTATAGTAGCTAAGGTATTTGGGATATTTAGATTATTTTGAAGGGAAAAATGCTCAACACAGATTTGAATGTAGCAGTGGGAAGATATTTTCAATTTACAGACATGCATGAATGACAGTTGTTTATCTTTAAACATCATGGATCTTTGGTTACCATTTCAACAACTCATGTTATACCTTGACTTTCTTTGTGCACTGTGGTGGAGTTGGTGATTTGTTTCTTCTCCATCTGGTCTATTTTGGGCCTCTCAGGCTTTCACACCTACTTAGTAGCTTCTAATCTCACCACTAATGAAGACGTGAGTAGTGCTATTCTGACGTGGCAAAGCTGAATTCACGATTGTTTGATTTTTGTTAAAATACACATAAAATGCTGAAAACTGTGGAGCTCACAGCTTACTTGTCATGCAGATAAAGGGATCCTGGTCAAGTAAAAGGGGTGCAGAGGAGTCTGAAAACCCATACACTTACAACAGCATTATAACTAACTGCTGCGTAACGTTATGCGGCCCCATGCCTCCGAGGTGAGTAAAGACGTCCTCCTCATCACTTCACACATTTTCATCAAGTTCACCCTTGTGTCTCACTAATCACCTTAACAACTCGCAGTCTAGAAACACAAAGCGGCCTTTGACCTTTTTGATGCTTTAGGTAATATTAAGATTTGGTACCCCGCCGTTGGCTGCATGGATAACCCTCCAAACTGATTAGCAGGTGTCTTGTTGTATTCCAGGGAACATGTTCATTCACATCTCGTTTAATATCTGTATGTGCTGATTTAGAGCAGCTTCTGCTACTATAAAATGTGTTTTCATCTTGACATGACTACCTCTTGCTGTGTTTTGGTAGATGGAGAGTTCACTGGACACACTGTTTAGCCTGTTGATGCAAATGTCTAACAGTCTGTATGGTTTACAGAGAATGGTCCCAAAAAGGAGAAAATATAAAGTGAGCGGCAGTCCTGTGGGTGAAAATGCCTTGGTGATGCTAGCGGAGAATAGCCAGACTGCTTAAAGCTAGGAAAGCAATAGTAACTCAAATAGTCACGGAGTTTAAGCAGAAGAGCGTCTCTGAACACATAAAACGTTGAACCTGACACAGCAGCAAAAAACCACACGGGTTGCTGCTTCTGTCAGCTAAAAACAGGAAGCTGAAGTTCAATATTGAACAATAAAAGACTGGAAAAAT